CCACTTATTTGAAATTCACGAGTGTAGATGGAGGAAGCATTTGTGACGGCAAGTAAGAGTAGGGGTAGCCTCTGACGTGGGTGTAAGAGTAGGGGTAGCCGCTGACGTGGGTGAGTAAGTTGCTGCCAGCGGAGAATCCGAATATTCGTAAATCGTGTCTGTTCATCTCACAATGTTCAGTTAGAAATTATTATAAATAATTTTATTTAAAATTAAACAAAAATAGTACCTGACGAAAAATGACTGCTCAATTTACGATAAACGGACACGATTCAAAATTCTTAAAATTTCCACAAAGAAAATCAAGATAATGTCCTGTTGGACCGGCGGGGACTGCCGAGATTGGTGGTGTGACTGGGGACCGAAGCGGTGGCTGCTAGTTTTTTCACTTTTATTTTGTTTAGTTTTATTAAAAAGTGGACACTGTTTAGTTGTCAAATCCTCATCAATATGGTAACCTAACTCAATTATAAAAGCAGTATTTGAATGTATTATGGGCGAAATATTGGGATTTGAATCCTTTCCGGATCCATTAAAGATCGTGTGGCTACAATTAAATGTTTTTTATATTTTTAAAAGTAAAATAATCTTGTTTTACGTAAAAAGTATTTAATTGTGATCGCACGATTTTTGATGAACGATCCTTGTACCTTGATCCCTAGGATTCCCAAGGAGGGGATTTGAAGAGAATCCAAATCCGAAATATTGGACCAAATTCAGCTGGCACTAGCTAGTGTTCTGTTTAATGTAGTTGGAAAACAACTGGATTATTTTTAAAGGATTTTAACGAAATTTTTTTGATACTGTTTATTTTAATATAAAAAATTATATTTTTAAATTAAAAAATTAATTCTTATACTTAAAGTTTTCATATCATTTTTATTAATTTTTTTTTTTATCTAATTGTTCAATTCAGCATGCTATATATCCACACGATATATGGCATAATTAAGGGTTCGTTTGATTTTTTTAGATCTAATTAATTACTAACTTATTTAGCTACAATCACCAAAAATATAGGAAATATTGAGATCCAAATTATTATAGATAATGTGAAAAAAAAAAACTGAACACCTCAATCTTACATATAAAGCCAACAGCCCAATGAATAGTAATCTTAGGGATCACAAGCTTCACTAAAAATAATTGGACATCAATGCCCCTCAAACAAAAAACTTCAAAAGCAATTCAAGATAATGCATCAAATAATATAGGGGTATTTTCATCATATAACTAGTATATTTTTTATAATTAATTCTTTTTGTACAACTTTTATTTTTATTTTTATTTTTTTATAATTAGTACTTCACAATCGGTTAGTAATAATATAATTCAATCAATTGTTTATTAAATATTATTTTTTCTATTTTTAAATACGTTCAAAACATCTTAAGAGGCACGTAGTACCGGTTATAAAAAAGGTATTTCACATGCGCATGATAATGTGATTCAATAGTTGTCAAATGATTTTTTTTTCTTCGAATAAACAATATTATCTACACTAAGGGGGAGGGAGTGGGCTTAGCCTGACAATAGGCTAGCAATATTGAGATTTAATCAGTTGTTTGTTAAATATTATTTTCTCTATTTTTAAACACGTTCAAAACATCTTAAGACGAGCGTAGTGCTGGTTATAAAAATGGTATTTCACATGCGCATAATAATATAATTCAATTAGTTGTCAAATGATTTTTTTCTTTCGAACAAACGATATTATATAAACTAAGGGGAAGGGGGTGGGCTTAGCCTCACAATGGGCTAGCAATAATATGATTCAATTAGTTGTTTATTAAATATTATTTTCTCTATTTTTAAATACGTTCAAAATATCTTAAGAGACGCGTAGTGCTGGTTATAAAAAAAAGGTATTTCACACGCGCATAATAATGTAATTCTATTAGTTGTCAAATGTTTTTTTTTCTTTTCGAACAAACGATATTATCTACACTAAGGAGGAGGGAGTGGACTTGGCCTCACATTAGGTTAGTAATAATGTGATTTAATCAGTTGTTTATTAAATATTATTTTCTCTATTTTTAAACAAGTCCAAAACATCATAAGAGCCGCGTATCGCCAGTGATAAAAAAAGAAATTTGACACCCGTACAATAATGTGGTTCAATCAGTTGTATTATCTTCTTTATTTTTAAACATTTAAGATGACACATCCTGATCGGAATGTTCACTAGGACTTCGAATCGAGCTGTGCTGGCCGACACCTGGAAGGCGACGAAGCTATAAAGTGTAGTGATGTGAACAACGTGAATAATTTTAAACCTAAAGGTGCCTAAATATAAGAGTGCGCATATGTGAGGGAATAGATCTATTTCACAAATGATGTCAGAGCAAACTATAGTATAGTAAAATAGGATGAGAATTATACCATCAAAGGTAATTGTCTACACCAAGATTTGTCAATAATCCTTGTCGGTATGAAACCTTTGCTACTAGAACCTAGAAGGGCGAAAAATAAGGGTGAGTGGGTCTGAAAATAAAGTTTTAATAAAACCTTTCTAAAAACATTATAACCAGTAATATAAAATGTTGACGTAGCTTAACCGTGACCACACAAAACAGGAGGGCACGGGAGGGCACCGAAAGTGGGAGTGCAAATAATCCTTGTCGGTGCATGAAGGCTAGTATTAATTATATTAGGTGGTGTAGATGTAAAAACTAAAAATTCTAGCATGTACAGATATGTAGAGGTTCCAAAATATTTCTAACTTTTTGTTCATCAAAATAACAAATTCTAATTGAAAACAAATATAAAATTATCAAAATTTATTGAAAACTCTAAAAACCTGGATGTGTTTATGCAACTGAGATTATACCAAAACGGTTCGCCCTGTTTTTATTTATTTTTTATTTTTTTATACTGGAGACCCAAAATTGGCACACAAATTAAATAACTAAAATTCCGTTAATCTGAGTACTCGAATGTCTAACTTTACATTCACTTTTGAGATATTGCATAAACAAATAACCTATTAACCTGTAAAGTATCAATTCTCTTTAGTCAGTTTTCTTGATTGAACATCACTTAATTGTTTTATTTTATTTCATCTCAAATAACTGAGTTTCTACCTATTTCTTCTATCTCAAACTCTAGTGCGCTGCTCCAGCTCTCCCAAATCTAGAACCTCCAAATCAATCTCACCTTTAGCTGCCGGCCCTTCCTCTTGGGTGGGGTCGGTAGCAACCCCATCTCCTCCTTCGTTTTTCCCCTTCTTCTTCCCTAAACCCCATCTTCTTCCTTTGCTTTTTCTTTGGCCCTTTTTCTGGTTGTTTTGCTTTGAGCTTGTCCCATTTTCCTTGAGCTTTGTCTCAATGTTTGGCAATCTTGTTGCATATTTGAGTTTCATGCTTTTTCCTTCCCAAATTGCTATTCCTAGCCGCAAGCTTATGCCCACTTGGTTCGGCTATTTGGCTCATTGAGTTCTTCCTCCATGGACTTCAGTTGGAGGTGTGTTGTGGGTTTCGGTGGTTGCTAAAATGCAATTCACCCTATTTGGTTTGGTAGGATTATGGAAGCGCATTTTGCGCGGTTGGCTTTCCCACCCCCATTTTCCATTCATCATTTTAGTTCGTTGGTTCTTCTTACCGGTTTAGTTTTGTAATGGGCAGGGCTGCACTTTTATTGTGTTGTGGATTGTCTTCATACTAACCTCACTTTGTATTAGTGTGTTTTATCTTTTATGAAATTAGTTATTTGGCAAAAAAAATAAAAACTCAATTTCTACCTATTCAAAATTTGTATAACATTATGTCGATGAATCTGTGTATTTGAATAATAAAATATGTTGAATATGTGGTGACGATTAGCTAGCCGTTCTTTGGTTTTATGAGAATTTAAGGGCGAGCAGTACATGAAGCGAAATTTTTCAACAGGCAATAACTTCTTCATCTACCAAGAGCACATGGCATAATTAACCTAGTCTCGTTTACAACCATGCATCTCTTCAGAAGTTGATCAACCAAAATTAAAAAAAAAATTCCAAGTGCATGGATTTATAACTGCGATGCAAAATGCGGAAGGCTTCAATCAAATAATATGCTATTTTTGCTTCAAAGAAGAAAGACGGTATTCAAACTTTGAACCTCTTTCAACATTCATAAATGAAACTAAAATTTTAAGGTTTCGAACTTATCAACACATGCATTTGAGTTATTTTTAGGTAATTAAAATTGTTATATTGTCAAAATTCTCGAAAGCATATGAGTTGGTGGTGGAGCTGGTGGTGGCTAGTCTCTCAATGGTTAAAAAGAGTTGTGGATTTGGAGCTTATTAATTGACTATAAAAGTCTCCAAATAGATTAAATTCTGAATAATGTTAGGAAGACCAAATTTTTAACCAATGATGTGTTATTAATAGGAAATAAGCATGTTAATCAATACTTAAGTAATAATCCAATCATTTGTCATCACACTATTTTGTTTACAAATTTAGTTTAAAAATTTATTCTTCCTAACATTAATACCCTTAAATTCTATAGTACTCAAAAACTTGGTGACCCAACTAACTTAATTAATTTGGTTACTTAATATTGCAAGTGAAGGTGCAAATTCTTTCACTTTGTTTTACTGGTAACAATCTGGTGCCCTTTTGTATATTTAAATAGACAGGCTAGCTAGCTAGCTCGTTTAGAGTTTGATATGAAGAGATTTTTCAATGTGACCGGCATACGAGATGGTATACCACATGTTACCATACAAATAGTAGGATATGTGTATTAAAAAGTTAATAATTTAAAAAATAAAATTCCTCATCATTTACATAAAAACACGTGGTGTACCATCTGTGTTCCCGTCACAATGAAAATTTCCTCTTTGATATGATGCATGACCAAATTAAAATCCAAGTTTCATGGGAAAGAAGAAGATCATGTGAAGCAAAACTTAGCCATGTGGGTGCAATAACTGATTTTTGGGTGCATGCATTTAGAGCTGCCCTTACTACTTATCGATCTATCTGCCTAATTAGGGCTTTGTTTATTCGAAACCACAAGAAGTCTTACGCGTACCGACAATTGAATTGTGGGTTTGCATTAATAATTAAATGTGGCGATCAGTTAGTTGTTGAGGCCGATTTATTAGGAAAGAGATCCTCAAGATCATTGGATCAAATGATCCGGATCTTCTAAATTTCATCAAACGGTTAAAAATTATCATAACTTTTAAGGGGTTAAAACAGTTGGGCTGTTAGATAAAATTTAGAAGGTCCTGATCAATGGATTTAATGAAAGAGATCTGAAGAGGATCTCTTTCCGATTAATTATTGCTCAAGCAAAGCTCAAGTATAAATAAGAAGCCAATGATCTATTTAGCTCTCACCAAGCAGCTCAGAGTTGTAAGAGAATATTTTGAGAATGGGACGCGGTAGTAGGAGATCGCAGCAGCTTGCTTTGTTTTCTTTGTTTTTTATTCAAATTCTTGCAGTGAGTGTGGTTGCAAGGAACGTAGTGAGTGTGAGGCGTGATGAGGAGGAGAAGAACTTAGCTGGTGGTGGAGGATTTGGCGCTGGAGGTGGAGTAGGTGGAGGTGGTGGTGTTGGAGGTGGTGGTGGGGTAGGAGGCGGTGCTGGTGGTGGTTTTGGAGGTGGTGGTGGGGGTGGGGCTGGAGGCGGTGGAGGATTTGGAGCTGGAGGTGGGTTTGGTAAAGGTGGTGGCATTGGTGGTGGGATTGGCAAGGGTGGAGGAGTAGGTGGTGGTGCTGGTGGTGGTTTTGGCAAGGGTGGTGGAATTGGAAAGGGTGGAGGAATAGGAAAAGGTGGTGGAGCTAGTGGGGGTTTTGGAAAAGGGGGTGGTGTAGGTGGAGGAATAGGAAACGGTGGTGGTTTTGGAAAAGGAGGTGGTGTAGGTGGAGGAATAGGAAAAGGTGGTGGAGCTGGTGGTGGTTTTGGAAAAGGAGGAGGCATTGGCAAGGGTGGTGGAGTTGGAGGCGGAGCCGGTGGTGGGTTTGGAAAAGGTGGTGGTGGTGGTGGCGGAGCCGGTGGTGGCTTTGGAAAAGGTGGTGGAGCAGGTGGTGGATTTGGTAAAGGTGGCAATGTTGGTGGGGGAATAGGAAATGGTGGAGGTGTTGGTGGTGGAGCTGGTGGTGGCTTTGGAAAGGGTGGAGGTGTCGGTGGCAGTGGTGGCCATGGAAAAGGTGGCGGTATTGGCGGGGGAGCAGGAGGAGGGTTCGGTAAAGGTGGTGGAGTAGGTGGAGGCATTGGAAAGGGTGGTGGAATTGGTGGTGGTGGTGGTTTTGGTAAAGGTGGTGGTATTGGAGGAGGAATTGGCAAAGGTGGGGGAGTCGGTGGTGGCGTTGGAGGCGGATCTGGCGGTGGGATTGGGGGCGGATTTGGCAACGGCGGTGGTGTTGGAGGAGGAATAGGGGGAGGTTCTGGTGGCGGATTTGGAGGCGGTGGCGGATTTGGTGGAGGAGCAGGCAGTGGTGGTGGATTTGGTGGGGGTGGCGGTGCTGGTGGAGGTGGTGGTATTGGACATCACTGAGCTCCACGTTATGCATGCACTCGCACACTTGCATGTTTACGAACAATGATGGTATTAGGCATCACTGAGCTTAATGTTTTTTTTTCTTTTTTTTTTTGGAAACCACTGAGCTTCATGTCATGCACACACGCATGTATATGAACGAAGGATCTATCAACTAGTACTTTGTGTAATAATTAATGAACAATTTTTATTACTACTACTTTTTGATTAATTTTGTCAAATAGATTATATCCAATCAGAAGTCTACTTCTGGGATGACAAAAGAACCCCTACTGTGCTTCTGAGTTCATTATTTTTATAACCGAAAGAATAATGTATATTTATGTATAAATTTTATAATTAAAATGATTGAAAACTTAATTTTTATTTGAAGATTATTTCTATAAAAAAAAAAATTATATTCATATATGGAGATCATCTAGTTATCTCAATATATCGAATAAATAGAAATAAATAGACTATTAATCATGAATATGTTATTTTGTACTCTCACTAATATTTAAATGAAGAAATAATTTCTAATTGGAGTGATTTTTTTTTTTGTAGGATTGATTAGGGGGTGGAATACATAAGTATTATGCAAGATAATATTTGCGTCCATTTATAGGGGAACTTACATGTTCATCACTTGTGATCAACATGTTAACGTTGTACAAACATCATAACCGGAACTATTTGTTTTCTTTATTTTTATCTAAATTTTTTTCTAAAAAAATAAAAAAAATCATATAATTTAAATATCGTATAGTTATCTATACTTCTGAAATAAATTAACAGTTTAATCAACAAGTAGCATCGATAAACCTTTTCTCCGATTACTTTAGCCAAATACCAAAAACACCGGGAACTAAACTTTCTAAAAAGAGTAAATTGTAACAATGATCTTTCAACTTTAATCAAATTGGAGTAATGATCTCTCAACTAAAAATCCATTACCAGTAGTCCCTCAACTTATCAAAATGTGTAGCTATAGTCCTTTTCATCAATTTCGTTAAAATTTTGTCAAAATAAGTTATATTAAAATGACCATTTACACAATTAGGCTTTCTCAACTCATCAAAGTGTGTAATTATGGTCCTTTTTGTCAACTACGTCAAAATTTTGTCAAAACGAGTTATGTTAGAAGAACCATTGCTACAATTGGGTTAAAGTTAAGGAACCATTTCTTCAGTTGAATTAAAGTTGAGGGACCAATGGTAATGAATTTTTAGTTGAGGGACCATAGCCGCACGTTTTGATGAGTTGATGGACCAATGATAATAAATTTTTAGTTGATAGACCATTGCTCCAATTGAGTTAAAGTTAAGGGACCATAGCTACAATTTACTCTTCTGAAAAAAAAGATGAAAAGGACTGAACTTAAATCTTGGTAGATTGCTGACAGCAGAATTTAAGATAGCACCAACCAATTACTTATGGCCGTCCACGTTTTTATTTTCTTTGTTTTTGTCAACCAATTACTTTTCGAATTTGGTCCCTGCATATTCAATTCTGGCATTTTCTTTTATATTTTGGGCTCATGCCCTTGGGTATATTAGACTTTACTCACTGCTATCAGAAATGATTTTCTTTTCGATTGTACTGGAAACGGTTATACCATATGTTTTTTCTCTTAAGTTGTTTTTCTTCATTAAAAAAAGAAATTACCCCAATAATTATGGTGGCCAGAAGTTCTGTAAAGGCCGGCTATTTGAGACGAAGCAACATAATATTATTGAAATGAAATGATTACAAGTCATAGCGTCAAATTGAGAGAAAAATTTACCGTGACTAATTCCAACTAATATGATCGGAAGAAAATAACGCACAACCAATCATATATAAAACTCTCAATTTTATGAGAAATCTGAGAGACAATATCTTATAATGGTGAGCTTAAATTATAAATATTATCGATGCATGATCTGTTTACCTATGTTGACACAACACAACACACCAGTGCCAAGGTTCCTCCTGATCGTTTTGCAGATTATTAGAAGAAACCAATCATATATAAAACACTCAATTTTGTGAGAAACATGAGAGACATTATTTTATATTGCCGAGCTTAAATTGTCAATATTATCCATGCATGATCTGTTTACCTATGTTGTCACAACACAACACACCGGTGCCAAGGTTCCTGCAGGATGGTTTTGCAGATTCTTCGGTGGTTATACCGAACCGGTTAACATTTACCCTCTAGTTGCACCAAATTTTCACATCAACAAATAATTTTTGCTGATAATTTGCTAGAAACAACACTGCAAAATTGATCTTTGATAAGTAAATTACCTAACATTATCACTATTAATATTTCAGATTCATCTAAAGTTAGGTTCGTTTGGTGCACATAATTAAATTGGAATTGATAACCTAGTAAATAAAAATTATATTGAAGGAAGAAATTATTAAATTATAATCAACCTTAAAGATAGAAGATGCATTACTCGTGAATAAAAACTTATGCATTCCAATTTTACTTAAAATAGTAGGATTAGCAGGAGTGAATTTCATTCATAGCTAACAAGAAAAATCATTCTCTTTCACCTTCAATATATCTTGAAATTATAGATTGTGGTGCTTTAAAAAAAAAAAAACAGCTTATTAAAAAATTTAGAGCATTAAATGCATTTGGTAAAACAAAAAAAAAGTGTTTTTAAAAAAAATTGCTTCTAAATTTTTTTTTTTTTTTTTCAAAGCATGGTAATCAATGTTCATCTAATGAAATTTTCAAATGGCAGGTATACTCCCACATGTTTTACAAAATTGCAATATTTTCCCTTACATTATTGTCTTTGACTTATTATATCACATTAAATACCATATCCTTTTTAATCATTAACATATTCAAATCAATTTATATAAAAGTTTATCAAACATTCAGACATTATTTTTTATTTTGTTTTTATTAAAAGCACTCTTACAAAAAAACAAAACACTCAATAACTTTATTTTACTGCTGTTTATTCTCACAACACAACCGAGTGAGATAGAAAGTAGTTTCTATGTTACTGAAAAAATGCATAGAAAGTTAAAGGCTAAAATTTTTTGTTGGCCTATGTGATGCTACGACATTTTCAATGTGACCCTCGTAATGAAAAAATTGTTAATTGAACCTTTGTGATGAACCTTGTTAGTAATTGTGCCTATATGTGTGTGTGTGTGTGTGTGTGTGTGTGTGTTCAATTTGCTGCCCCATATATCTTTCTGCTCTTGATTAGACTTAGTTTGTTCATAAGTTCTACTTATGATCAAAGACGTGGTAGGCAATACAAACAATAATGGTTTATTAAAAGCATCGTGATTTTTCAAACAATACTATACCTAAGAAATCAGGTGTGACTTCACCTTCACTTTTTTATCCTAGCTATTGACGTGGATTTACAGATTTAGCTTCACCTTTTTATCCTAGCCATTATTGCGAAATCCAATTCCAATTAAATCAAAAGTCATCTTAGACACATGATCTTCTTAATTTGGATTGAAATGACAAATTTAACTCCTCCACGTGATAGTCATGGATGTTTACTAACGGAAGTTTAGGTTCGGACTTCAATTGTTAACGAACTCACCATGAGAGTTTAATTAACAATTTTTTCACTATAAGAATCATATTTTTAAAAATATCATGTCACCGCAGACACTGAATTTTCTTTGGCCAAAGTACAAGTAGAAAATTATGGTCACAATGACAAAGAAGCAAAGAAAATCAGGTAAAAAGTTTAGAATATATGAATAGTAAAAAAATAAATAATTTGGCAGCCATCCTCCCCCAATATTATATAATGCAAAAGGGCAAAATGCGATTGTCGCCGGGGCCGGCAGTTGACAAAAAGATAAAGTGAAAAATACGGGGGTTAAATTTTCAAAGTGGGCCCAGGACATTCCCTTCGAATTGCCTGGCATTTGAAAAAAAAAATTAATTAAGTATTTTTTTTAATGTAATAAAATTAATTATATAGTTTTCAAGGAATTAAACGGCTGCGCAAAATCTTCCCTCTGTTCACATCTTTGAATTGAAGGGGTCAGCTTTCATAATTTAATGCATCAAACTCTGAGCAGCTCCAGAACCACAACTGTTGGCAATTTCTCAAGCAACGCACAAAAAAAGAGATTTAAAAAAAAAAAAAAAAGAAAAGGGGCCAATTTATTTTGTTGCTTTGGATTCTTGGGGAGGAGAAGTCCAGGCGATCCCTTTCCTTTGATGAATTGGAGAGTGGGGGAAGCATGGGGAGAATGTTGATGGCTTGTGGGCTCAGCCAATGCTTTTTGCTGCCAGCCAAAAGGTGCTTTTCTTGGAAGCTGTATTTGATCTCAGCTCTTCTTTTCTCATGCTTTGATGAGTTTTTCTCACTCTTCCCACTTTTTTGTTCCAGCAATCATTGTGTTTTCTCGTGCTGTGGTGTTTTTTTTTGTGCTGAATTGAAACTTGGTCTTCATTGCGTTTTCATGTTTTATGAGCTAGTTGGATGATTAGTGTTTGCAATTTCATGGATTTTGGTGATTCTGTGAAGTGGGTTTCCGGAATAATTGCTGAATTTTCCATATGTAGGGAAAGTTTTGGAATTTTGAATTCTGGGAATTAGGATTTTTGGGGAAAAAGAAGTGTTTATAGAGTCAATGGGTGTGTTCCTGCTCATGATCTGAGAGTGTATGACCCTAGGGAGAGCTCTGTCATGTGTGTTCATTGAAGACCTCTGATTCTTCTTTTCTTCTAATTTGTTTATGTTTATTTTTGGTTAATGTTAATGCGGAAACAGTTCGATTGGTTTGATCCGGTATGAGAACTAAGAAGTGGATGAGTAAGAGAAGATTCAGCATTAAAGGGAGGTTGGATAAAATGCTCAAGTGTATGCGTTCCGGTGAGCAATTAAGGGTAGATGAAGTCCCTCATTCGTCTGACTCCCTGGCTACTCGGGACTACTCAGCTAGTGGTGGCACTGGCCACTCGTCGCGAACGGGTGAGATAGAAACAAAGGTGGATAACAGCAATATTGAAGAAGCTGAATCGTCTCTGCGAGAGAGTGGTTATCTGAACTACGAGGTTGGTTGCATATAAATTTTGCATAGCCATTACTTCCTTGTATGGCTTTTGTTTTAACTTGTTTGTAAGTCGTTATCTACTAAGTTCAACAACTTGAACAATTTGAACTTTTTCGCTGTATGCTCGAATGGAATTAAGTTGCACATTTTGTGCAACTGCAAATGCTATGAATGACCATGTTTTGTGGTTATTTCTGCCTTTATAGTCCTGCAAATATATACCGGATCGTGTAGAAACTTATGTTGCGGGACTGTTTCTTTGGGTTTCTCCTTCTAATTGTTAATTTATTTCTGTTAGCTGTTTCTATATGGTATACATTGGTATATAGTATATAACCTATATTAATTCATTATTTAGCAGTGAAAATAGATACCTATAAACGCATTTAGTATTTCAAGTACGTAACGCCAATTTTGACAAAATCCTGAGTGCCAATGTTTGCCGTTTGTAAAAATTGGAAGCTTGTTTGACAAATTAGTTTTGGATGATCATTGTCATGGGACACTGAAGTCAAACCAGGCTTAATTTCTTGGAGTGGAATTTGGTTAATTGTTCTATTGATAGTAGCCAACCTTTCTTTAAGAGGAGATTTTTCAGATTTCCCAAAATGACTTCATATCAAATCATCTGCATGGTTACATTTGTATGATGATGCGGTTTGCTTTGAATCTTCAGTCATCTTCAAATAATTCCAAAAGCTAAGAGACCTGTGCATTTTGTAGGAAGCAAGAGCTCTATTAGGAAGGCTTGAGTATCAAAAAGGTAACACAGAAGCTGCACTTCATGTATTTGAAGGAATTGACATTGCTGGTGTGATTCCGAAGATGAAAGTCTCCATTTCTCGAAGATGTGAGACCAACAGACGTCGTTCTCAAAGCGACGCGGTCCCACCCATGTCTATGCATGCTGTTAGTTTACTCCTTGAAGCTATTTTTCTCAAAGCGAAATCGTTGCAGGGTCTAGGACGGTTTGGAGGTATCCTTCCGTCTTGTTCACTTTCCTGCCCCTGTTTCTCTTATATATGTTCAGACTTTTGCAACTTTCTTGTGTCTTATCTGTGATATGTTTTCATATCATGAGCTTTGAATGCTGGGATCATTTAGTTTTCTTCTACAATAATAGAACTTTATAAAGAATATAACTATAGTCAACCACACAATTACAGACGGAAATTCATGATTGTGTGTTTGATACATTAAGCTGCATATTTGGCTGCTTCTGCTGCACTTTCTACCCGTACAATTATAAACATGTAAGATTATGGAGATAGTACATTATACTATTTATAATTTCTGCAGGGCTGATTTTGCTTGCTGACCTAATTTTGCAGAAGCTGCTCAATCTTGCAAACTTATTTTGGACACTGTAGAATCTGCATTACCAGATGGCTTGCCCGAAAACTTTGCTTCAGATTGTAAATTACAAGAGACTGTAGGTAAAGCTGTTGAATTACTTCCAGAATTGTGGATACTTGCTGGGGCTGCCCAAGAAGCTATCTTATCATACCGGCAGGCTCTCCTCTATCATTGGAATCTTGACATTGAACTTGCTTCAAAGATAGAAAAAGAATTTGCAGTTTTTCTCCTGTACAGTGGTTGTGATGCAAACCCCCCAAATCTCCGTTCGCAGATGGAAAGCTCCTTTGTGCCAAGAAACAATATAGAAGAGGCTATTCTGCTGTTGTTGGTTCTACTAAGGAAATTTGTTGCCGGAAGGATAGGATGGGACCCATCAATCCTCGATCATCTTTCTTTTGCCTTGTCCATTTCAGGGAAAGTGAGGGCCCTAGCCCATCAGGTTGAAGAATTGATTCCTGGAATTATGGGAAGACAAGAAAGATATTGCACTCTAGCACTTTGTTACTATGGGGAAGGTGAGGACTTGGTGGCTTTGAATCTCTTAAAAAATGTTTTAAATAATCGAGAGAACACAGACTGCATTCTGGAGTTATTACTGGCTTCAAAGATTTGCAGTGAAAATTCGGTTTTCATTGAGGATGGGACCAAATACGTGTACAAAGCACTGTCAGAGTTGGATGGAAAATGCTGCCAAATGTTGAGTATCGCAAATTGCTTACTTGGTGTTTCCCTGTCAGCTAAATCCAGATCTGTCGCTTCTGATTCTGAAAGGATTTTGAAGCAGTCTGAAGCATTACAAGCACTACAAACTGCTGATAAAATTACAAAAGAGAGATCTCCATACGTTGTGTATCATCTTTGTCTAGAACACGCTGAGCAAAGGAAGTTGGATATTGCACTTTATTATGCAAAGCAGCTATTAAAACTTGAGGCTGGTTCCAATATAAAATCATATGCTCTTTTGGCACGAATATTGTCAGCTCAAAAACGGTTCATTGATGCTGAGACTGTAATCAATGCTGCTCTAGATCAGACAGGGAAGTGGGATCAAGGAGAACTGTTGCGAACTAAAGCAAAACTGCATATTGCACAAGGCCAGCTGAAGAATGCCGTAGAAACATACACCCATCTTCTGGCTGTTCTTCAAGTTCGGACTAAAAACTTTGGTGTTGAGAAGAGGCTTTTAAAGGTAAATGGTGGTAATTCATTGTGTTCCATTTCCTTTGAAGCGTACATGTTTAATGTATTTGAGAAGTGTCTTGCCGGCAAATCTTTTCTTACTTTTAGCCAAAATTTGCATTATTTCATTGCACTAGTGGATCATAAACTTCATGTATTTTCAAATATAATTTGAGAATATTTTAGCATCATAATGCGTAACCATTATTTGTTATTTGAGATGCTCAAGGAATATGGTATTAAAGTTTATCTTGAGTATCCAATTAATATTTATAGAAAGCTGTTTTTTGGTAGCAAATTGTAGGATATATTATGTCTCTTTATACATTTACAGAGTAGGAGAAACCATAATAGAAGCTTGGAAATGGAGACGTGGCACGATTTAGCTAATTTATATACAAGCTTGTCCCAATGGCGGGATGCTGAGGTCTGCCTTTCAAAATCCCAGAGCATCAATCCTCATTCTGCTTCCAGATGGCACTCTACAGGTATATTGCTGTAGCTATATTCGTTTATATAAAACACTGGCATTATTTCGAGTCCTTGGGTCTTGGATTCTTATATGGATGACTTTATTACTTCCTGCCACTCATTTGTCTCCGGTAGCACAGAGTCACAATTCTAGAAGTATAATTTTGGGTCCAAAGAGAAAAAAGCCAGGGCTTGTTAATTTTGGCACTAAACTACTCAAATTTGTAGCGAAATCTTTCATCAGCCTTCACTGTGGACCTTCTTGTAAAACTTTGATTATTTTGCTAGGTTTACTCTACGAAGCCAAGGGTCTCCAGCAAGAAGCTTTGGAATCATTCAGGAAGGCATTAGATGTCGAACCTACCCACGTCCCAAGCTTGATATCCACTGCCTGTATACTCAGACAGTTCGGTGGCCAATCTCTACCAGTCGTTAGAAGCTTTCTCATGGATGCACTACGACTTGACAGAGGAAACCCTTCTGCTTGGTACAATCTGGGGCTGCTGTACAAAGCTGATGCGAGGGCATCAACGCTAGAAACAGCCGAGTGCTTTGAGGCAGCAGCTTTTCTTGAAGAACATGCGCCGATCGAACCCTTTCGATGACCACCCCGACTTGTTGCACCTTCTAAACCATGTATGATAGAATCAGAAAGTGGTTTGTAAGTTATATATATGTATTTTGAAATGATACAAAGAGGTGAATACATTAGAATACGAAAAATGTTGAAGTATCCTTCTGTCTTGAAAATATATTGAGTTATAATCTATTAATATGTGAAATTTGTTCGTTTATTTATTTATTTACCAAAACAGGATGGTAAACTTTTGGCATAATCTAAGCGTTTGTATGTGATGACATTTCTTTGAGTTGATGTGAAGAAAAATACTATTAGGTCGTAATACTAAGCATTGGTATGATGTGAAGGTTAGCGGCGAATCGATTGTAACATTAAACGTTAGTTATTAACAATTTTTTATGATAAACTCGGTTCTCTAAATCTTGTGTAGTAGTTTCTTCGTCCATCTAATTTCATCTTCACCTCCCCCAAAACTGCTTCCACTTTGCTTGCACTTTCAGGCTCGCGTTTGTTATCCTCAACCCAACCCTATTTTTGCGTTTATTTCTTCTTCCATAAAACATCTTTCCATTTACAAGAGTCAACTTTATACAAAACAAGTGTCCTTTCAATTCAATAATATAATATATATAAACAAAAATTTAATGATATTGTTTCGAGAAAATGCCAGGCTAATTGTGAATCAATTATATGTAAGTTTTTTCTATATACACTCTTAGCATTTCCAAATCTCTTCATCACGTGGCTTATTAATTTCTATTCCAATTTTACTTAATTTTTTTCTAATTTCTTTTTACTAATTTGCCTCCATCATAAGTAGTTTTTGAAATTTTAATTACTGGAAATATAAGGGAAATTTAGACTTATTTAAAAATTAACCATAAACCTTTTGGCTGAAAAAAAAAAAATGGGGATACTCATGGATGATTTTCACTTCACCCCCTCTTTCTAGTTTCTATGCCTACTGCCCCAATTTCCGACATATCGCTGGAAATATCGGCCGATATAGCCGATATTTTAAACACTATTTGTCGTAGCCACTCTCAACGCCGCCCACACTCCGATTCTAGCTCGCTCGCTCGCTTCTCCTCATGGCCCTTCTCCTTCTTCTCAGACCGGTCCTCTTACTCTCTCTCTTACTATCCGCCCCAATTCTCCATTCCGAAGCTGCCTCGGGATCGGTGGTAGAAGAAGAAGACTTCTCGGAGGAGTTGCTTCTGAGGCCATTGCCGGATCGAAAGGTGCTGGCCCACTTTCACTTCCGGAGCAGGGCCCCACATATTAGCTCCAATGGTCGCCACCACCATCTCTTCCCCAAAGCCATATCTCAGCTGGTAGGTCCCTTTTATTTGTTCAAAATCGCTAATTTGGGATTAGGGTGAGGCAGTAAACAGATAAAGTTTGGATCTTGTATCTGGGTTTTGTTTAATAGAGTGCTTAAGGTAGTTGATAGCTGATTAGGTGTTGTAAGTGTTGAAATTTACGTGTTTGAGCTTTTAGGATTGAGATTCAGTTTTAGGGTTTATTATAATTGGCACTCTGGAGGCATCTGCTGGTGTTTTTTTTTGTGTTAGGTAGTGTATCTTCATGTACTTTACAAATTAACAACAATTTTGCAATGGTGGATTGTATATGGTGTTTGGAAATTAGAAACAACAAGTGTGTAACAATGACTCATGGAGGAACTGTTAGTTTTTTTTGCTATCAATGTTCTGTAGTGGAATTCGCAACCCAAATATGGCATGGGCACACGATGGGTACAAGACTTGACTTTGTTTGCATACCAGTTAATCGTCACTCTGCATTTGGGAAGGTTTTGGGTACTTGATTCTCTTAGGTTAAACCAGATTGCAACCGACATTTTAAATGTTCGCTATCATGCATTCTTCTGCTTCTGCTTGTCCAGTAGATAATGCATCCGAGATCCTGACAAGTGACAACCCCTCGACCCTTTTTTTTTTAACATTCTTCTAAGTGTTACTGCTTGCACAACCCAACTGTCCACTTGTCTCCAATATTTTTCTATGAATTTATGAAAATTTTCTGTAGTATCTTGAACTACTAAATAACTTGTGGGGTAGTGTTGGTTGGACAGGTTAAGAAGTTTCATGTTAAGGAAATGGAATTATCCTTCACACAAGGCCGATGGAATTATGATCGCTGGGGTGGGTTTGATCCCGTAGCAAGTGACAATGCCAAGCCTCCTGGAGTTGAGTTGTGGGCTGTTTTTAATGTCTCTCATGACCAGGTGGATGATTCTTGGAAGAATTTAACTCATGCTCTCTCAGGTCTCTTTTGTGCATCAATCAACTTCCTGGAATCGTCTACAACATATTCTGCCCCTGAATGGGGATATCGCCCAGCGGCAGGCAGTCTGAGGTATGGTACATTGCCTCGTGAGGCTGTTTGTACTGAGAACCTAACTCCCTGGCTCAAGCTCCTTCCTTGTAGAGATAAAGCTGGGCTTTCTGCGTTAATGGATAGACCGTCTATCTACAAGGGATTTTATCATTCACAGCGGTTGTGGTTGGCCTCAAGTGAAATCGAATCAGAGGGGGTAGTTTCAGGAATTTTTCTTCAGCAAACACTCACAGTTGTTGTAGAACCCAATAGTCAGAGAACTGCTATGACTTATTCCCATGAAACAAAATTGCAACCAAGCTGGTCCTTGACTTCAATTTTTGGGAGGAAGGTCATTGGAAGATGTGTGCTTGCTAAATCTTCCACCGTATACGTTCAGCTTGATAGGGGACTAGTTGCTCAACTGGATTATTTGCAGAAAGAAAATGAGATAACTAGTCCTGATGAATCTGTCTTTGAGTTGTCTGTCGAGCCAGACAATGTCTTAAAAGAATTGAATGGCTTTGAAAAGAAGAGTCCATCTGTTTTATATGAATTTTCTATCGAGAATTACACTGAATCTAGGCCATTTGATTTAGGCCTAACTTGGAAGCGTCCTGTAGTTTGGTCATGTCAGAAAGCACCATTACACGCTAGTAGGTTCTTGATGGGAAGTGGGAATGAAAGGGGTGCTATCGCAATATCCTTGAGATCTACGGGAGTGAGTGATTGGTTGTTGGGTACTGATACGAGTGAAGGCAGCTGCAAATTGGAAGTCAAAGTTTTCCAGGTTGTGCCGTGGTATATTAAGGTTTATTATCATACACTGCAAGTGTTTGTTGATGAAGAGCTTCAAGCAGTTTCAGACGTCGTTGAAAAGATGCGCGTTTCACCTTCTGTAGACAAGGTGTCACCTGGGTTGATGGAGATGGTCCTGAAATTCCCTTGTGGAATGAAATCAGCTGCTATAACCTTGGATTTTGATAAGGTAATTTCTTTTTCTTTGTTCTATAGCTATGTGAAAATTCCTCTATTTGCTAAACTTTGCGTAAGCTCGTGCAAAACAATGGCTGACTAAAGCGTTGGTGATAGGAACTTCAGTATCATATTTTTTGCTCAGAACACACACTGAAGTTTGAATGTACACTTAATTTCATCTGTACTTGTTGATTTTCTTATGACTGTTGTAATATCTATGTAGGGCTTTTTGCATATTGATGAATATCCGCCAGATGCCAATCAAGGATTTGATATTCCATCAGCCATAATAAGCTTTCCCAACTTCCACACAAGCATGCAATTTTTTAAAGATGAATCTGTGGATAAGTCCTCCATCTTATCCAGATTCCAGGTATTCTATCTGACATATTGTTCTTTTGTACATATTTCAATTCATGGATTTTTATACCTATTTTTCACTCTATAACTATTTTTTTTCCTTCAGGAAAAGAGCACTGTTCTGGCATACACAGAAGTATTGCTTGTACCCCTGACAACACCCGATTTTAGCATGCCTTACAATGTTATCACAATTACGTGCACTGTCTGTGCTTTGTATTTTGGTGCTTTGCTCAATGTGCTTCGAAGGCGTGTTGGCGAGGAGGAAAGACTTGCGAAGGGCAAAGGTTAGATTGTTTATAGCGTAATATTGATTGGCAATTTCATGGATATACAACACGAGTATTAATTTAGAACACCGCATAAGTTGCAGATGTTGAAACATATCGATTATCTTATACAAAATGCCTTAGGTTATATGTTCCCAAATGTAATTTGGTTTTTTTTCGGATTTTCATAATGCATCTATTTGGGTTTATTTACGGTCAGGAACAGAGTTTCATGTGGCTGGTAGTCTGCTTTTAGTTCAGTCTGGATTCCGTACGCCCTCTAGGATTGAAGTATTTCTCCATGTACTTGTTACTCTTTCATGAACAGCTTCTGATGTTTGCTTGCAGATGCCAATAAACCTGGTCGGCTCCTTCAGCTGCGATCTAGGTTGTTTGCCAAGCTTAGAGGAAAACAGTACGAGCCACCTCAGCCATCCACCACTTCATCGTCCTTCATCAGTCGGAAACTGATACTTTTTACCCTTGTGGCTGGGATTGGTGTCTATTGGCAAGTTTATGTTGAATGATGATGATGTCCACTTGTTCTTCATTACAATTATATTTCAAATATTTTTGTATTTTTAGGATTTAGGGTTTAGGGAAGAGCTCGAATTGAGATTGAAAATTTGACAATTTGCAAGAAATTGAGTTATAATTTGGAAACAATTTATGCACACGGACATAACAGTAAGAATCAAGCATATGTGTATATGGAACAAACTAGAAACAAGAGTCAGTTAAATATGGACTGTGTGGCTTGGGCTGCTGGTCGGGCTGAATATGGCCCATCAACTGTCTTGGCAATGTTTCATGGGGTGGAGTGGTTTTCGGCCCAAAGAGGGGATTCTAGCCTTTCGGCTTGGCAAGCGATAGGTGCACGGGTGATGTCCTTTGGAGTGGAGATTTTAGATCAGTCACATACCGAGTCGGTCATAATAATTTGATATTAAGCTTGTCGACCTCCTTTTTGTAAGCTATCTAACTGAAAAACCAAAAAGAAAAAAAAAAAAAAAAGGAACGCGCATGAGTGCTAGCATCTTAGTGAATAAGATATTGAATGTCTCCCAATACGTCATGAGTTTGAAACTCATTTTTTTTATAAATTAATGTAGTACTTTCAAATTCTCTCAATTTCGCTAATACTAATAATATTAAAAAAAATAATTTAATACTTCATATATAGATTAACATATTAACTTAATGGTTATATTTCTCGATTTGGCCAAATTTTTTAATTTATTTTAAAGATGATATTTGAGAAAATAATAAACTGTTTAAATTGGTTAAAACTTGAAATACCAAGTGACGTATGCTGCAAAAATTATCTAAAGCTTATTTGAGGTAACTCGACTCAGCCTCACTCAAATTTGATAATTCTAATTCACCTTTTATAAAACAACCAAAATAAAAAAAAAAAGAAAAAATAAAAAAAAATAAAAAATAAAAAATAAATAAAGAAATGAAAAATCCAAGTTCACCCTAAATAACAATAACAAAACCCTAAAGCCCCGACCTTGGCTGCATTTGTTCGTCTCCGCTCCGCCTCCTCGACCGCTACCGCTGCCACTACGACTACCACTACCAGAGCTCTCACACCAGAAGCAGAAAATGGTGAGCTATCTCTTCTCCTCCACTCTAATCCACACACCCATTGGATTTCCTTCTCTGTATACCCTTTTAATACGACTTCGTTTCGTTCTTCTTGTTTGATCTCACCCTGTTTTGTTTTGTTTTTGTTGTTGTTTGGACAGCCTTTCAAGAGGTACGTCGAGATCGGAAGGGTGGCTCTCGTCAACTACGGAGAGGACTACGGGAAGCTCGTCGTCATCGTCGATGTCCTTGACCAGAACAGGGTACCATTCTCCTTCATTTTTTCCATTTTTTATTTTTATTTTTGAACTTTATTGAATTTTATTCTTTGGTTGTAAAGTTGGAATTTTCTGCTGCATTCTGTTTTTAGCGTAGAAAATTTGAGGGGAAATAGAAGGGCATTTTTTGGGACTTCATTTGGGTAGAGTTGGAAGCTTCAGTGCTACATATTTATGCTTTTTCCTCAAGTATTTTGGAGCTAGCAAGCAGATTTTGAGCTCTATGAACTGCGTTGTTATTATTGTTTTTGGAATCTCGGACTAGAGATTTACGACCAACGCAACCATTCCCTAAACAATAAGGTCACTTACTGTGTTGTTTGAGTTGTATTTAGATATATAAATGAGAACAAATCAACTAATGTATTAAAGAAAGGGTTTTGGATTGAAATAACGAAAATTTATAATTTGTGCTTCGCCATTGTGTTTTGTATGCGTACTCCCTTGGATGCATGTTGGGATGTCTCTTGATTTTTAGAAGAGTCTAATAACTATTTTGCTGAATGCGACTAGGTACGATGGGAATGTTAAATAATTATAATTTGAATATACTGAAATCTGTTTCATCTATTAGAAGGGTTAAGTTCTAGCTTCTCATACAACTTCTCCTCTGGCCCATGGATTTTGTTAGTTTCCTACTTGCTAGTGAGAAAATTTTAAGATCTAAACTTTTCGTTTGAGTGCAGATTATAACATGATTACCAATCCAATCTGACCCGAATTTTGTTGGGTTGTATAACTTGTATTTATTTGGTGTGCTAAATCACAACGGTAGAATTTTGAATTGGTGTTGATTGGGCTCCAATCAGAACCAAATCGATATCTGCCCATCTGTAATTGTATGATGGTGGTCTTGTCATATCTTCAATGTATTTGTGATGTTTTTTCTGCATTGACGTCAGCGTTTTGATCCTCTGGTAATTCTCTGTAGGCTCTGGTTGATGCCCCTGATATGGTGAGGTCCCAAATGAATTTCAAGAGACTTTCTCTCACTGATATCAAAATCGACATCAAGAGGGTCCCCAAGAAGAAGGAACTGCTTGCTGCCATGGAGGCCGCTGGTAAGCTCAACTCCTCGTAAAAAGTAATAGTCTTTATTTTTTTATGTCATAGTTTTATTCTAAATAGTTGTATACGTGTTGGCAGATGTGAAGAAGAAGTGGGAGAACAGTTCATGGGGTAGAAAACTGATTGTTCAGAAGAGAAGGGCGGCTCTTAATGACTTTGATCGGTTCAAGCTCATGCTGGCTAAGATTAAGGTTGGTTGTTTTGCCATAAACAAATACAAAGTTTTAAACCATGTACTCCTTTCTTTAAAAGCGCCTTGTTTCCTTACGAGGCATAGTTTGGAATGTTTGTAGACGGTCACTATGATTTTGTTCATCTTTGACATGTTGAACTCTGTCGAGCTAATCCCTTTTCCTCATTTGCAGAAAGCTGGGCTTGTCAGGAATGAGCTTGCGAAACTGAAGAAGCAGAGTGCAGCTTAGGCAATATTTTTAGTTTACAATTTTATCGTGGATTTTGTTTTCGAAACTGTATCGGATCAATTTTAGATTTTCAGATTTTTTTCCATTTCTAATATCATTGACACTATGGTTTGATATATAGATCTTCAGTTTCTTGTATGGATGACTTGTGTTTTAATATGGTGATTCTGCGCCTATAAGTACCCCAACCAAAAGTTAGTATCAGTTGTGACCCCAGCTAAAATTGGGTTCATCACAAATGTATTTAGTACTCGCTATACATGGGAGTTGAACTTGAGAATTGCAATAACTCTGATTGGGAAATGGAATGATAACCGCACATCACTTTTGATCTCCTATACACTCTTGTTTAATCCTATTTGTTGGTTCTGTTTGATTTATGCAATCCGATGGTTAAAAAGAAAAACGGATGTGTGCGAGGCTAAGAATGATGTGAAATCAATTTTCTTTTGGTTTTTGAGTTTTTCACGTTTGCTAAATTTTGGGTATTAGAATCGATTGAATTCCTGCCTATCCATGAGTTTACTAATACATGTGGACATCAAAAAAGTGGGTTTCCTCGTAAAATCCGCAGTTCAATGTATGAAAATCTAGTTGATTTTGTTCTCCAATAGGAATATTTAGCATTAATCATAGAGAGAAAATAAGGAGTCTCCACTAGGAGTTCCTAGATGAATCCTTATCTTAACAGGTGGATAGGGGAGCATAATTAGAATTATTATTATTATTATTTTGAAATCCTCTTTGAATTCTAGTTAGGAGTTCATTTAGAGAGCTCATTAGAGATTATCTTACTTTCTATATGCTCAAGTTACCCTAATTCTTTTTTTATTACAGAAGATTAGAGCATTTCAATCATGCCCTCTATGTTTTAGTTTGCTAAAAAGACTTTAAGGGTGTGTTTGTTTGCACTCGCTAGCATTCACTAGACTGGATAAGTGGGAATGCAGTGCCATGCTTGTTCCATCCCGGGACAAGCTTTAATGAGACTCGCCCCGACTAACCAAGACTAACGGCTTCGCTAGAGGGTCTTAGTGAGACCCCCGAAATTGGCTGGATTGCTAAGATCAACTCCTTGCTTCACCCCCCGCCCCCTCCTCTTCCTACTTGTTCCTCACAAAATTCGAAACCCATATCCCATTTACCAACTCTGCTCTGCTTCGCCCCTCTCATATACCATTTTCAAACCTAAATCCCTCAACATTCGAAAACAAAAAAGGAAAAAAATTATACACTCTTTCCATTCTCAAAACCAGATCCAAACCCAAAATTCGATACACAAAAAAAAAAAACATAAAAAAAAAATCGTTGTGTGTATGAAAAGCACAGCAGTCGTCCGTTCACACATGCATAAAGAGCCGTTCTAATTACACATGCACTCCAGACTCCCTAATCGTAGACCTTCATCGTTGATGCCAGAGAAGCAGAACGATGAGTATCCATCCATATGACTCAAACTCTGATATGTTCTGATTTGCTAATTGCGTCTTAGAAAAATTAGAAAAAGAAACAAGGGAGATGAACGGAGAAAAATAGGAAGAAAAAGGTGGAGATGAAAAGGGAGAGGGACAAAGAAAAAAGAGGGATTAGGACAGAGAAACTTATGAAGGGTGGGGGAAATGAACAGAAAAGAAATAGGAAAGCACTACGGAGGTTTCTGGAGAGGAAAAATATAAACAAAAGTAAGAATAAAATAATAACAAACCTGAATTAATAATATAAAATAATAATTATAGTGAATTAAATAATATAATATTAGAATTTGTTATTATTTTTAGTTTTTAGTTTGACACTACACCAAACGCTTCATTAAGTTAGTTTAGGGCTGGTTTGGTATTGCTGTGTTTTGAAAAAAAAACTGCTTCTGCTGTGTTGTGAGAATAAGCAACTCTGAAATAAAGCAATAATGTTTGGTAAACTTTTTTGTAAAAGTGCTTTTGAAAAAAAAAAAAAAAGCAGTATTATAGTGTTTGATAAATTTTTATGTAAAACAGATGTGAAAAAAAACTGGTTTTTCAAAGCTGGGTTTTGCAGCTTTGTGTTTTTAGCTTTTTTTTTTTCACCCAAAAATGTGAAAAAAAGCTGAAGCTGAATGTTTACCAAATTGAAAAAAACTCCCAGTCTTTTGTGATAGCCACTTTTTTCAGAATCACCTCATATCAAACTAGGGCTTAGTCTCGTCTAAACTAGTCTAGATTAGTCTCCAAAACTAATTTAGTCCGAAATAATCCGACGCAACAAATGCATCCTCAGACCAAATGTGTTGGTGAAGGTTGGTGGAATGGATAGGATTAGAGGACTAGTTAGACAAAGATTATCTTGGGTAGATTGGCTCGTCGACCCGACGACGCGGCCGCACCTGAAGATCTAGCAACTTGACCACGGCGCGCGCGATGACAGCCCACTACACGGGCCCTTAAGCTTTTGGTGAAGTTCTTTACTGACCGAAAAGAAAAGCCCGTCGAAACTTCAACTCTTACCCCCTAAGTTTATTTATTTTTTTCTGAATCACCAGGTGAGAGGGAGATACGATTTCCTACTTCAAAGAGAAAAGTACAATTAGATCAAAAGCTAGTTCGCGTTTATTTAGTTTGATATTACATATCCTGCTTCTCATAAACATTAAATTAATTGGCTTATTCTATTAAAACCTTATTTATTGTTGATTAAACCTCATATATTTAATACACTTCAAATTTGTTTTTTCAATTAAAAATTATCTTAATACACCTCACATACATTCTCATAATAAATACCCTTACACCCCACATTCTCATACACCTAATATTTTCCACATACATCCCACATTTTCTATACACCCCACATTCTTCAAATCTTATAATACTCATTTTCAATTTTTATAAATTAAATTGACTTAGGATTAAAACCCTAACATTCTTTAAAAAGAGAAGTCTACAATCCGATTTGTTGAGCTTGAGTTTCATTGGGTCATCACAGCCAATCTCCTTTTCTCTGTCCCTTAAGCCTTTTGCTAAGAAAAAAGGATTTCTGCTAAAAAATGGCAACTAGGAGGAACCTAACAGAGCAAAAGTAAACCCCAGAAGATGAATAAGAACAGAAAAGGCGTTGCTGGGTTGGCCTCCTATGAAATTGGGTAGTATGGAAAGCAAAAGCAGGCTTAAATAATTACCGATGTCGTTGAATAATTAAAACAATGACAAATATGAAATTTCACCACATGTGAAACTTCCGAAATATTGATATCGTGTTTAATTCGTTAATTTTTTTCTCAATCAATGTGTTTATAGTTTCAATAGTTAGAATTTTATTCAACAATGGAGTGGAGGGTGAGAAGGGTTTTGATAGTTGAAGAAGATAAATAATACATTAAAAGTAATTTGGAGTGTATTTAGAAATTTCTTATTGTCTTTAAATCTCAAAAGGTCGAAATTGTCATTACATAGTAAATTACATAAACCACTTAATATTAAATTTTAATGTGGGGTACATTAATATTATGTGGAGTGCTAATAAAAAAAAGCCAAATTATTTTGGGTACTTGTGTAGTAAAAACAAAGTCACCTTCTCACAATTCGTAAGACAACAATCCCCCAACGGAGGTGACAATTACGATCTCGTCCTCTTTCTTTCCAAAAGAAAAACCAACGCCAAAAATAGTCTGTTCCTTCTCAAATCAATTGACTCTCTATTTCTTTTCTTGTTATCTTTTTCCTTTTAGGGTTTGGTTTAATTATGGCGGACGTCCAAGGTCTCGTGAATGAGCTTGCTACCAGTCTCCGGAAGCGGTGAGTTTTAACTGTACGTGTGTATCTATGCATGCATGTACTCTTTTCTTTGTGTGGCTGTTGCTGTTCGTTTTCTTTTGTTACGGCTGTTTATGGATTTTCGCAATGGCAGGAAAGTCGAGGGTTCACGGGAGACTGCTCGGCTAACGGCAGAATTGCTTCGGACAGTTATATCGGCACAGAAGTTGCCATCACCTACAAACCAAGCAGCTGCTCTTATTGCGGCGGTAAGAGGCGTTGGCCAGCGGCTTATTGCTGCTAATCCTGTTGGTATGTCCTTTATTTTGTTTTAAGGCATACGCTTTTAGTTGTTCTCCACAGCTTTGTGATAATTGTTTTTGTGATTTTACTGGATTAATCGATTCTATATCAAAACTTTTCATGTAGTAGAGTAAATCGTACCAAGCTTTCAATTAAAAAGATGTATATGAATCCCTAGGGGCATGGATTAAAGAACACTAGATACATGAGTAATAAAACACTTGCAAGAACCTAGCGTGTAGATATTCACAACTGGAGAAACAAATTGCGCCTTGATGCAATATTCTTGTAGTCATGTTGATCTAGGTGACATCATCATTTAATTTTGTCGTCTCATCTTCTAGCAAGCAGTTCAATGTATTAGTTGATATGAAAATTCTCTCATACGAACCCTAATGGTGAGTACTAGGTGCGGATGTGCATCTGAATTATTATAATTAATGGTCAAAGTGGTATAATTGATTCGTTGAACTTTTGTGTCAGAATGTGCTGATTAAGAATAACATATTTGATAGCTAGCAATTGTATTACTCTTATAATTGGAAATTGAATATAGTAAATTAGTAATTTTCAAATTAGGTTCTCAGTCTCATCAAGATTTACATATAGATTTTGGGTTATGTCTAATGATGACAGAATTATACATATAAATTAGGTAGCGGAATTCAGAGATTAGCATTCTGAGTTTGCCCCAAGTCTTGTTCATATACATGAGAATCTTGTGCAATTAGTTATATAGCTAATACTTTGTTATATCGTTATAAATTATATAATGATCATGTTGACTTGGGGGTGGACTGCAGAGCTTGCTATTGGGAACATCGTGAGGCGCATTTTCCATATTATTAGGGAAGAGGAGCTTTCACTTCAAGTTGAAGGGTTGTCTTTATCCACTCAAGGCAGAGATAGAGATCGTGATGAGGAAGACGATAAAGCGTTCCTATCGTCTGTCGCTACTTCTCAAAGACTTCTGCGTTCACCTTAATTGGCTGATCTTCTTGGAAGCAGAGCCGCTATGGCACCAGCTTCAACGAATCAAGAAATTCAGGGGAAAGGCAAGTTTGAGCAATCCCTGTAGTCTATATATATAGAATTCTAACACGTAATTAA